TGGGGAATAAGAAGTAGTTCGGAAAATGCAAAGGGATTGGTGGAAGATAGGGTAGAACAGGTGATTTGGAGCAGAGCCCTGGAATGCTGGAAATGGCAGGAGAAAAGATTTTGTTTTACAATGAGAGGAAGGATGAGGGCCTTCCTTAGGCAGGGTTGTGGGAAGGGAAATGAAGACATAAGCGTACATATATTTTCAGAGCTTTACTATGTGCCCAATGGGCAGTATCCTAGATGCTCTGCCTATATTATCCCACCTAGTTGTTCTACCACCTAATGAAGTTGTCTTAGGCTTCCCTAAAACTTTGTATAGATGGGAATGCTGAGGTCCAGATTGTTCAAGTAGCTCACCCCGGGCCCCTTGGTGGGGTGAAGGTGGAGCAGACTCACTTGTTCTTGTAGCCTTCCAGTGCATCCTGAAGGCTGCAGAGCTCTGACTCTAGCCTGGCCCGGTCCCCGGTCACACAGTCCAGCTGCCTCTGGAGGGTGCCGATGTAGGCCTCAAAGATGGGTGCCATGTTGGTCTGGCAGCACCTCTGCTGCTGCATGAAGTTCCACTTGGTCTCCAGCAGCTTGTTCTTCTGCTCCAGGAACCGGACCTGCAGCCAAGAATGAAATGTCACCGGGCAGCTGGGACCCTGAGGACCAAGGCTTGGAGACAGTAAATGATGGTGGGGGCAGTTACATCAGTTTCTGCTCCCTTTACTGACACCGCTGCCAATATGCTAAAATTTACAGATTAGGGTCTCTGCATAGCCTGGCACCTGAGGTTATGTCTCTGTGTCTCCCCTGCCTTGGGGAGTGTATAGGACCCACCTACCACTCATGGGTTGCACACTGTAACGGAAAGAGTGCTGCCCCATGAGGCCTGGGACAGGTCCTCCTTCCAACCCTGCCTACCTGCCTCATCCCAGCCTGGTAACCTTGGCTGGGCCATCTATCCCTTTAAGCCTTGCTTTCTTCCCTAAAGCTCCTACTTGGGGCTGTGCATGAGAAACACTTGGCAGATATTATACTAACATGAGCAGGTGACATCATACCTGGGAAGAGTTGGGCTTTTTTCAATTACAGCCCAGGGACACTTGTGTAGAAGGTCAGATCACAGGCTCTGTCCCAGGGACACTTGTGTAAAAGGTCAGATCACAGGCTCTGTCCCAGGACTTTAAGTTCTTTTCACAGACTGCCCCAGCCTGCATGGCTACATCCAAAAAAAAAGTCCCTGTCACAGTAATGTGGAGAGCTGCTGGCCCACCTCCTGCATTTTTGTGGCTTGGAAACCAAGATTAGGGGAAGTAGAGTGAGGGGAAGTAGAGTGAGTTGGCCATGGTCACCCAGCTAGTCGCTGGCAAAGGGAACATGGTCTTTAGTCCTCACCCTGGGATTTTCCATATTGTGCATTGTCTCTCAAGAAAACTGCAGAGGAAGTAACGTTGCCCAGCTTCTGATCCATGGCCATGTCACCAGGAGGCTCTTACAGAGGGTGGTGTGGCATTGTTGACAGCCAGGGCCCACATTGTTAAAATGAGTTTACAACCAGAACTCAATGAGCTTTCAAAATTAAACTGTAAGTGTAACAGTTTCCATTTGCTAAAACAAGTTCCTTTTTGGAGCACGTTTGCGTGTATTATCTCTAATTTTCTCACTATCATTGCTTCCTTCCCCTCTGGACAGCAGGGTCCCTGAGACTGAGAAGTGAGTGGTTTGCACAGGGCCTCAGGGTAACAGTCAGGAGTGGAGCCGACACCAAGTCCACGTCTCCTGACTTCCAGCCCAAGACTTTTTGTCCTAAGTCTTGGGGTCACAGAAACACCAGCTCAGCCCTTGGCATATATTCTAACTCCATGAGACTTTCCGAGGTGTGGGGACAGGCCCAGAGGCAGCTGAGGGTGATGAACCAGTTCAGTGCCTTCCAAAGGCAACAGGCCACCTTTCTCCGAAAACTTTCAGAGTTGTGGTTTTGGGGTTGACAGATGAAAGATTTTGGCAATGACCTCCTTGTATCCCTAGCTCTGACTGCTCCACCTTTTCCTCATCCCAGGACGAAGCTGATGGCAAATTCCAAGGTCACAGTTCCCACTTTGGCCCCCAGACTCACAGGTCTTGCTCCAGCTCAGGCACTCAGGAAGGGACTCTATTGTTAAAGCCTCGTCAGGAAGGGCAGTTCTCTGTCTCTTAGGTTGTTCCTTTCAAAATCTATCATTGCTTTGGATGTTCCTCTTATAGTCTGACCTCAGGCAACCTTGGTGATTTTGTCAGATAACATCCGAGAAAGAGGACATATTAAAAAAGAAAAAAAAAAGGACCAGCAAACAGAAGCGTTTAGCGCTGAGCCTGATCTAACCAGCTTTCAGGGCTTAATGGTCATGGAGTACAGGAGAGACCAATAGATGAACCGAGGCTTCTCTATTGTCAGTCTCTTCCTGCTCCCTTGGATCAGACACAAGGTGTTCTGTGCATCCCACAGTCCTGGACCACTGGGCCCTCCTCCTTACCTTGTTGATAAAAGATGCAAAACGGTTATTGAGGCACTTGATCTGCTCCTTCTCGTCCCTTTTCACCCTCTGCACAGTCGGGTCAATGTCCAGCTCGAGTGGGACCAGTAGGCTCTCATTGATGGTGACAGGGGTGATGCACGCAGAAGGACCACAGGTGGCCCCCACTCGGTATCCAAAGCCAGCCAGGCCACACCTGGACGCGACCCGGGGACTCCTGATGCCCACATTGCACAAGCTCCGTGAGCCGAGGCAGCCCAGGATGCGGAGACCCCCGCCTTCTCCGGACTGGCATGGCCTCTGGCTCACTGCACAGTGGGTGACCATCTTGGGGAGGACAGCTGAGCACGAGCTGAAGCTTCGACTGCCACATCTGGAACCCTGCTGAAAGGAGCCACACGACATGGCAGGAGAGAGAGGCAGAGAGACAGGCCCTGGTGGGGAGACTAGGAGGTAAGAGCTATCAAGTCATCTCAGCTCCCACCCTTTATCTGGTAGGGGGATGGAGGGCTGAGCTGGGTCAAACCCCCAATGGCCATTAAATCAGGATTATGAGCTTGGGAGATTGGCAGCTCTAAGTACCCAGGTGGATAATTAGGGTAGCAAAGAGCCGAGAGAAGGAGCCAATGGTCAGTGCTGGTGGGCCCTATAAAAGTCTCACGTGTCCTTTTTCCTTGTTTATGGGGGCAATGAAAGGGTTTCATCACCGGACAGATATGTTTGTGATATTCAGTGTCTCAGCCTCCAGGAAAGGGAGAGTTGGGACTTTATGCCATTTTATAGGAACTAAAGCATTATATTGTATAGGAAATGAAGCATGATATTCCCTGGCTGCCCGGGGATTAGAGGCCAGGTTAGATATGCTTGAGGATGCTCTGTTTCCTCAAGGCTGTTTTTATGTGCTTCTGCAGACGCTCCAGACCCACGTGCCCTCCAGGCTCCTAGGTGAGCCTAGGACCTCCCAGGGAGGAAGGCTTTGGGTGGGAGGAGCTTCCCTAAGCAGGCTGGGCCCTGCGCCTCCTCAGGCCAGGCGGGGTACTGGTTCTGGCTCAGCTACCCCTTGCCCCACTAGGGCTCCTTAGGTAGTAGACTCCAGACATGAAGGCTTGTCTCCAGGGGCCTTTTAGTCCAGAAAGGCCTCAGGGTACTCAAGAGGCGATGCCTTGTGCTTGAGGAGAGGGGAGTAAGAGATACTCTCCCTAAGACTCTTTAGCCTTCCCAAAACACGTGTAGGTGTCAGCCATTAGCTTGGGGTTCGCGTTGCTCTTCCTTTTCCTCCCTTCCCACCCAATCCTGAGCCTCTCTAAGATGGACAGAGCCTGCTTTGGTCTGAGGACACCTTTGGAGACAGTCACTGCCCTCAGAAATTGTTCAGGTGGATGTGAGATATAGGCCTTTTCCCCCAGCGCCCAGGTCACAGCTCTTTGGAGATGCTCACCACCTGCCCCACATCTGTTCCTTCTCCCTTTCTATCAGTCCCATCAGTGAAGCTGCTGCTGTGGTGGACAGGTCTTTTCTTTCCATACTGTGCCTTTTTCTCCAGGTTAGAACCAACTCCATAATAATAATAGTAATAACATTTATTGGGTGCTCGCTATGTGCTGGGACCACCCTGAGCTCTATATTCATTTTCTCATTTAATTCTTATGACAACACCATGGCTAGTTCCTATTTTGCAGATAAGGAAAGCAAGGAGTGGAGTGGTTAAGTAACTCCCCCAAGCTACCCAGCTTGTCCATGATAAGGCCGGGATTCATTATGTCTTCTCTGTTCCTCAGGTTCCCCACCTGTAGGTTAGGAGACTGGAGCGCAAACGTATCTCGTGCTTGGAAATTCTCAGTCCTACTGTGACGTTCTATTGTCCCCTTTTGTAATCTTGACTTTGGGTCCTAGCATGCTTGGGAGAGAAGATTGGGGCTGGGGGAGGTGAGGGTGTTATAAGAGACCATGGGCGATGGTGGGGTGTGTTGGGGTGTCCTGTTGCATGTGTCAGGGGGAGGGGATTCTCACTGTGTCCTGGTGGAAGCACCACACAGCTGTGTCCAGAAGGTGCTGTTAGTGGTAGTGGTGATGCTGAGAAGTCAGGCCAGAGAGCAGACCCCCTCCAGGTTCCTGCCAGAGGACATTAATGAGATAGTGTGCAGGCCTGTGAGGGCAGGGCTCACTGTGGCGATGTGGACATGCGAGAACACTTCCCTTCCCAGCCACACACAGGCCAGGGCATGGTCTCAATGTTTGTGCTGGGCTCCTTGGAGCCCAGGCCCAGAGCTCGGGTGCATGGGACGCACTGGATTCATTGTAGGTGGAAGGCACCTGTTCCTGGATAACACCAGTTCCAAGGTGCCCTCGAAGTGTGAGATAGGACACAGACTCAGTCAAGACCTAGAGAGCTTGATGACATTTTATTGAAGCCATTCCAGGAAATAGGGAGGCACAAGGAGCAGGCAGTTGAGAAGGGTTTGAAACAATCAGAGCGGGAGTGACTTTTTTCTGAAGTAGGGAACTCTTCTGTGCTGATGTCAGCAGCACGGCGGCCAGTCTCTACTTGCCTTTGGAATACATTTTGGTCTTGAATACATGGCAGGAGTTTTGAAGGTTTACAACTCTTCTCACTAAATAGGAAACCACCCCATGAAGGCCAGCCTCAAAAAGATCTCTGTGCCTACCCCACTCCTCTACTCAACCACCACTATACCTCTGCTTCCTTCACAGGCTGAGCAAGGCATCCCCGCAGGGTGAACAGAAGCACCGAAAGAAGAACTTATCCCTTCCAAGTCTGCTCTCTGGGCCTTCCCTATGGGGTAGGGCGTTTGATGAGCTGCCTTCAAGGATTTCAGTTCTGGCTAGGGCTGGGGATGGGCACATCCACACTGTAGACATTTTAGAGACAGGAAGGTAGAAAAAAAAAAAGATTAGGAGGGAGAAAGCAGGAAACATATTGCCAAACAGAAGAGTGGGAGAGGAAGAGAGAAAATAAAGAGAGAGGAGGGGAGGAGGGGGATTGAGAGAGGAGACACACAGGATGCTAGAGGAGGAGTAGAAAAAGGAGAGAGGGTGAAAGAGAAGGTGGGAAGGGCAGAGTAAAATGAAAGAAAGCTTTCCAGAAGAGAGACGTGGCCAGCACAGAGCACTAAGTCCTGAGCCTGAAGGGCTATGTTGCAGGACTTCCCCGGGACAGTTGGGCTAATTCGGTTCCTTTTCCTGAAGTGTCTGTTGTAGGCATCTGGGGCCGAGCTGCCTTTCCCATACCCTCATGAGAGCCTGCTTCACCCCCTCCCGCCTCATCATCAGGACATTTCTATTTGAGCCACTAATTCTAATATTGGCTTCACTGAGGCAGATTTGGAAGGAATTTGGCTATGAAATATCCAGTGCAGCCCCAGGCCACGGAGAACTTTCGGACTCTCCATAAAATTATTCTAGTCTCCTACGAATAATCAAGAGTTGGTAATATATTTGAAAGATGTTAATTTCTCATTCAAATGCCCTGCTGATGGGAGTTGTCAGGGGAAGTGGCTGAGGGCCAGGGTGGGGACAAGAAGGGAGGAGGTGAGGAGGCCATATGCAGGCAGTTTGCAACATTTCCTGGTCTGCGTGGTCTGCAGGAAAAGCATTCTGTTTGCAGTGAGAAAGCACACATGGAGACTCTGGCTTGTGCCAGACTGCACTCAACTTCTTTGGTGGCGCCAAGGTCAATTCTGAGCCCCCCATGAAGGGCTGTGGTTGCAGTGGATCTGGGTCGAACAGGAGGAGGAAGACCCAACTGCACCCCTGCTCTGGAAGCTACTGAAAGGCAAAATCCTAACTCAGGTCTTGGCTCAGGGCAGTTGATCATGGTTCGTTGGAATGGATGCCTGTGGCTCCTGGAGGGCTCTGGGATGAGGAGCGAATGGGGTGGGGGAACTGTCTGGAGGTAGAGGGATGGACAAAGTGACCTTAGAACTCCCAGGCCACTTCTCTGCTCCCTGTGCCTCCCGCTGCCGGGATTGATTTTGTGCAGGGGGTTTCAGCAAAGCGGCAGACCTTTGGGCTGGGATTTGGGGGCTTAAGGGGGCAGGCAGCTGAGGTGAGTGGGGCCTTTAGCTCCTGTAACTCTTCTTGGTGGACGACGTCTTGGAGATGATACGCATGCTGGAGCTGCTGCCGCCCATGTTACGGCCGCTGGTGGAACTGAAGCCACTGCCACCGCTGCTGCCACCATAGCAGAGGCCGCTGCTGTAGCCGCTGCTCCCACCCAAGCAGAGGCCGCTGCCCCCGCTGTAGCCTGTGCCCCCGGAGGAGGAGACCACGGCTGTGGAGACAAGGCACAGGGCACATTGGAAGGCTCTTCTGGTTTCCCAGGACCCACCGTCCCCGGATCTGGTGCCCATGTGGTTCCCTCCCATGGCTCTTCCTCAAGGAACAGGCATCTCCTCGGTCCCCCGGGAGCCAGGGTCCGAGAGGGTGGGCACTGCATTGACGTGAGCATCTCTGCACAGGACGTTGCATTTTTCAAAGCCTTTCCACAACTGTGATCACACTGATCTCAATAGGCCTGAGGGGATGCCATTACTATGAGCATCCCCATTTCACGGAGGAAAAATTGGAGGCAAAAGAGATCGAGTGGCATGTCCCAGGTCACCCCTGCCAGAAACCAAGGCATTAGGTTCCCATGCTTTGTTCATTCCTCGTCTATACCAGGAGTTGTCACTGAATGAAATGTGAGGCCCCATATACTGTGAGGGGATCATAGACTCCCATGCTGGAAGAGGCCAGAAGGCCACCCAGATGAAACTCCCCCAGGAATGGAACCCCCTCAAGTGCATCACTGAGAGGGAATCATTTAGCTTCTGCTCAAACATTTGAAGATGCCTCTTTGACTTGCCCTCTCAGTGTCTGTTTCACTAGGTGAAGCATTCCTGTTCCTTGTATTCACTGGTTTCAAGCTCTCCTCCATCCTGGTTTTCCAGCCTCTCTAATGTGGTCTGACCCACATGGGGCCCAAGGGGACTCTTCTTCCCATGCCCATGACTCAGGGCTCCATGAATGCCACCTGCTGGGTCACTCTGTGAGATGACTCCTCCCCATCTCCCTCCCGTGAACTGAGGCCAAGCCGGGTCAGTTACTGCCCTGCTTGTTCAATTAATTAGCTTCAATTCTAAATATAGGTCTTTACATTTAACCTGTTTCGTAGCCTTTTGTTAGTTGTGTGAGTTTGAATTCTGCCAGAAGTAGCTGAGAAATCAGGGATTCCGATGGGGGACCCATTGCTCTGTGAGTCGTCCTGTCCTATAACTGGGATCCCCTGGAGCCAAGTGGAATCATTCCTATGGACATATGACCCCACTGGGACCAGCCCTGGGGGTGAGGAGTCACCACAAGTCTCTCTTGACCACACTGGGAAGAAGGGCCAAAGAAGGGAGGGGTCTCTGCAGAGCCCCTAAGGGGGTCTTAATGACACCTCTGTTCAATTTTTAGTCATCAAATCCTTGCTAGGGAGGCTTTATCGCCCACTTTTCTATTATCCCAAGACATGTATGTACTCACAGATGTTCACGGGTCCAACACCTTCTCCAGTGAGTCTGTTGCAGGTGGGGAGAGAAAGAGATATTTCATTTGCTGTGATGTTAAAGAGCCCTGGGTTCTTTGTATTTAAAATTATCAGCACAGAGTGCTTATTGTGTGCCAGACACTGTGCTTAATAAGCCTTTCATTCATCTCATTAGCTTAAGGAAGCTAATGTGAATCTGTGAGGGGACATCTAGAAGAGAGATCCAGTCAAAATATGTAGAAAAGTAGGGAGAGGGACCTGTGCTCACTAGACAGAGAAGGACAGTAAGATTGTAGGCATCTCTGGGCAAATACTGAGGCCCTGAGGCTTGTCCCAAGTGTGGCCTCACTTGTCATAGGGCCTGGACAGAAATGGCCCTGCTTATGGCCTTCCAGGCAGTCATGGGCCATCTCTCCCTGACACCTTTCACCTGGGGCCTCTGCCCTGGGTCCAACAGGAGCTGAGGGAGGGGCTGCGACTGCAGGAGGCCTCTAGGAAGCAGCTGCATTTTAACCCCTTTTCTATCCATGGAAATTCTATCCGGGGCCTGACACTATGGAGCTCTTGGCCTCTGTGGAATTGCTATAGTGCTCTGGTGGAGTCTGAGCCATGGTAGGAGGAGAAGGTAACCCACCGGCATTCCTCGCCCTCCAGCAGCTTCCGGTAGGTGGCGATCTCAATGTCCAGGGCCAGCTTGACGTTCATGAGCTCCTGGTACTCGCGCAGCTGCCGAGTCATGTCCTGCTTGGCCTTCTGCAGGGCGTCCTCCAGCTCGGCCAGCTTGTGCTTGGCATCCTTGAGGGCCAGCTCCCCACGCTGCTCAGCGTCAGCAATGGCGGCCTGGAGTGCAGCACACTGCCCAGGGGGACACAGCAGTTTGTGAAATTGTCCACAGAGAATGCGGAGAGATGTGAGCTTTAGGTTTAAAAATATGGAGGAATTCCCTGAAATGAATTTCATGCAAAAGAGGCTGGAGCTTCATCATGATTAAAAATAAGGTTAATCTCTGTCGTCCTTAGATAATTTGAGACTTAGCCAGGGTAGAGAAAATATTTGGGGGGTCCTTTCCAATGCCAAACATCTCTGGATGGTGGCTAAGTAAAGCAGATCAAAGTTTTGCCATGGCTGTTTCCAGAGGACAGCGCCTTTCCTAGAATTGATGTTGGACAGAATTCAGGAAGAAGGTCCTGACCCCCCTGGTGAGGCAGGAGACTGCACGTTCCTGGCTTCACTCTGCATGGGCTGAGTTAGGCCCAGGCCCAGGTCTGCCTGGGGCAGGGACGTGGATGGGATGACCTCTGGGAGCTCAGCCCTACCTGCTTCTTCAGGTTATCAATCTCAGAGCGCAGCCTGTGCATCACCCGGTTCAGCTCAGAGATCTCCATCTTGGTCGTGCGGAGGTCGTCCCCATGCTGACCGGCGGACCGCTGCAACTCTTCATACTGGGGGGAAGGAGAAGCAGGAGGCAAGGATAGTAAGGCCAGAGAAGTGACATCCCAGGGCCCAACAGGCTTTCATTGCCCTGCTTGGAGGTGCCTTCCTTTTCCCCCACTACTTTCCATCAAATCCATCCCACTCTCCCTGGGCTCTGCCTCTCACTCTCAGTGTCCACAGGCTCTATCCCACAGTTGGACCTTTCTTCTTGGATCTAGTCTTTTGTCCCTCTCCCTTGATACCAGGCTTCTCATCCTCACAAACCCAGCATCATGCAGAGGTGCCTGCCACTCTCTGATTTTGAAGCTCTTTTATGTTTGTTCTCCTTGGCACCACATCTCATATCTCCAGTGATGCCCCAGCTTAGAGTGTTTGCTCTAACCTGGAAAACCTCACTGTGTGACCTATATCCAGCCTTTGCCCCGCCCGTCCCCTCTCCCCCCTCAGCCCCAGACAGTCCACCTCTGTCCTCTGTATCCAGGGGGCTCAACCTGCCTCTTGTTCCCACCAGCCCTCTCTTACTTCTACTGGCACCGGTAGCTGGTACTGTCCAGCTATCTCCCAACTCTCTTCTATAGGGCATTGGAGGTATGTCCATCCTCCCTGTGGCAGAAGAACTGACCACCTTCCGCCTTCATCTGGCTATTCCCCCAGGTCCAAATGGTGCAGCCCAAGGAGTGCTCAGAACAGAGGGCAAGTCCTAAGCTGAACTCAGATCCTTTTGACCCCATCAGACTCTGACATCCGAGAGGATAAAACTCCTATATAATTTGCCTTTGAAATCCAAGTTCTCTAAAATTGTTTCATGAACTTGACCTTGACACCTACCTTGGTCTGATACCAGGACTCAGCCTCAGCCCGACTGCGGTTGGCAATGTCCTCATATTGGGCCTTGACCTCGGCGATGATGCTGTCCAGGTCCAGGTTGCGGTTGTTATCCATGGACAGGACCACAGAGGTCTCAGAGATCTGGGCCTGAAGCTGAGCCAGCTCCTGTGATGGGGTCCAAATGGGAGAACTGAAGCATGTGTGCGTGTGTGTGCATATGTGTGTGCATGTGCATGTGTGTACACGTGCATGCGTGTTGAAACACTGTGACCAGGCCCCCAGAACACACCCTGACATCAAAGACCTCACTTACACTGTTGGGGTGCAGCACCCTGCTTAGGTCTAAAAGGGCTAGGAAGCACATTAGAGAGGTCACTGGGTTTACTCTCATTCTTAATCATCAGCTTATTTGCATGCAGGGAGCAGCAGCACAGATAACTCTAGACAGAATTCTCCAGAAGTTACTCCCACTGTCAAGGGAACACCTTGCTGATATCACATCAGTGCCGTAATGTCTCATAGTCTGAGAAAACACAGACTTTCACGTCAAATAAGAAATCACCTTGTGAAAGAAAACTGAGTCAGAAGGAGCCAGAAAGCTTTGCTGTGTCCCAATCCTGTTTCTCAACTTCCTTCCTCCCAGCTCCTCAGGTATGGGAAATGGAAATATGCTCAAAATAGCAGAAAGGGCACCAGATCAAGAAATTCAAGTCTTGAAACTGCTAAGTAGATTAGATAGCATCTCTGAGTCTCAGAGGGGGTAGTCATCCATAGTACTGCTTCATCTGATTCCTGGAAGGATTACATAAATCCATGTCCGTGTAAAATGGTTTTTGAAACAGTAAACCCACAATTAATTTGCTAATGATCACTCCTCACAGTCACCTAAAGCAGTGTTCCCAAAATGTGATCCTCTGACCAGCAACGTCAGCATTGCCTGGGAACTTGGTTGAAATGCAACATTTTGGGCCCCACCCCAGATTCACCGAATCAGGATTGGTGTTTTAACAAGACTCTAAGAAGATTCTGATGCGTTGTATGATTTGAGAATCACGGGTCTAAATCACAAATCTAAGTAAAAATATCCCTTTGCTTTCTGTATTGACAATTGGTTCATGTATTTCCTGCTTTGAGAAATTATTATTTTGTTTTTGTGTGCTGCAATTTGCTTTTCCCAAATAGTTTTTTTCCTGGTAGCAGACCTAACTTAAGGGCTTGCTGGGCTGTGGGCTAGTTCAGAACTAGGAGCTAACACCATACTGATTGTCAGCATGAAAGGGAATAAGCAGAGAAAATGATGGCTTTTTGCCCCATGTGGTCTGTGAGATGGTCACTGAATCCATCCAAACACACAGAGCTGATGATACTCCTGCTTCTGGAAAAACAGGACCAACTTCTGTTGGGCACCAAACCTATATAACCCACTGGACATGCCACTTGTCTTTACAAGGCCTACCAGGTACACAGTGCCCCTTCACCCCCTCCTCCACATCACTGATCCCCTCTCTACCACACTCCCCCTCACTCACTCTATTTCAGCCGCCTGGGCCTCTTCCTGGCATTCCTGAGTCCTCAATTCTTTTCAGGTTTTTCTTCAAATATTAGCTACCATTGGCCTGCCATTGCTCCCTATTGTCATTTTTTACATTGTCCCTATTGTGCCTGAAATGCTAGAGTTATTTGACTCTCTCTCTCTGTGCTGCTTTGTCTCCCCCAACTGTAATGGAAGCTCCAAGAACTCAGGGGTTCGGTTGTGTTTGTTCAGCGCTATGCCCGCAGCCCCAGAGAGCAGTGTCTGAAGTGCTCAACAAAACGGGTCTTCAGGAAAACCAGGCAATTATGTTGTGTGCTTCTAGAAGCACCAGAGGGCTTACTAATTGCCACTCAGTTGGCATAATTGTATGTCCTGCAGCTGCTCTAGGAAGAGCAGCAGGTGAATTTAAGCTGGACTGGATGAGCCGGTTGGCTCAGATAGTTCTGTGGAAACCATAAGAAATTCAATGACGGGCAGCCCTTTTGTCTGGCCAATAGAATATGCTTGGTCCATGTGGTCCAGGTTGAATTTCTCACCTCACCTGACCTGCCCGCTGTCCCAGGGAACCTCATTTACTCCCTTGGTAAAAGAAGCAGTATCTGCTTCATGAATTCCAACCCAGGGATGGGTTGAAGCAGAGAGGAGACCAGGGAAGGAGCCGGCAGCCTCTGTGCCCAGCAAAGGCCCCCAGCCTTCAGCCCTCTGAGGGGGAGCACTGGGCACTGCTTACCGCATCATAGAAAGCTCTCAGGAAGTTGATTTCATCCATTAGGGCGTCCACCTTGGCCTCCAGCTCTACCTTGTTCATGTAGGCGGCATCCACGTCCTAGACACAGAACACGCTGTCACTTTGAGTCCCACCTGGTCTGGGGCAACTAGCTCTCTGTCTATGAGTTAGGTGGGAGAACTTCAGCTCCCAAGGATGAGAACATTTCTCAATTCCAGGCTACGGAGTGGGACTGACGGGGGCTCCATAGTACGTGAGGACCACGGCTCTCAGGGAATGCCCACCAGCTCATCAACTGGTGCCATGTGAAAAGATTTCCTATGTCACCTCCACATGGTGAGGATAACCCCATCCTGAGCCCTTCGGCTCTACAGCCTCCCCCGAGGCTCGCAGTGACTTTTTCTCCTTGCACTCTCTGCCCCTTCCTCCCCTTTATATACCATTGCTCTCTTCTCCCTCCTCCGGCTTAGCTTGGGGCTGGTTCTCCCCTCCCTCTGCCTGTCCCCCCCTAAGCAGGAAGGTCCACAACTCCCTGGAGCTGATCCTTGTCTTAACTCCTGTCCCCTAAGCCTGACTTGATGTCCTGGAGACGCAGCTCAGCAAAAAGCCCTTTTTGCTTTGCCTCTCCCTGAGCTGGACTCCACATGTGGAGGGGGCTGGTGTCAGGATTTACAGCTGGACTTTGGAGCCTTGGATCCTGACTCACTTCTGATTATCTGGGTAACCCTGGAACAACTTGCTTAACCAAACTGAGCTTGAGTTTTCTCAGTTCTAAAGTAAAACATGCTTCCAAGACTGGTTGCACAGATTAAAGAAAGCCTTGTATGCAAGGCCACATGCTTAAGTGGCCGCTGTCACTCCTGGAAGAGATTGCCTTGGAGTCAGAAGGGATGGTCCCTGTCCCCTCACCTTCTTGAGCATCACAAACTCATTCTCTGCCACCGTACGCCTGTTTATTTCTTCTTCGTACCTGAGGGAAGGATTAGAAGTGAATGGGTGGTAGAAACTGGGATTCTGGGAGTGAGACTAAACCATGGCAGTTATAGGTGGACAGGCAGGGGCGGGTCTCCAGAGCAGGCCTGGAAAATGCACTGCTATAACAGCGTTCTCCTGCTCCACGTGTGCCCCCTCAAATCCTAAATCAGCCAAAACAACCAACCCTGTCCAAACACAACTCAAACTCAAAACAGAACCACTCTTTATTCTTTCTGAGCTTACTTTCTCAGAGCTTTGCTCTTTGAAGTGCTCAGGTCCCATAAAGGGGCATGCATGCTTTCTTTTTTTACCCCACGGTTTCGCCCGAACCCAAACAGGCCATGAAAGGAAGAACAGAGAGCAGGCAGTTTTAGGCCTTGGCCAGCTCTTCCACCCCATGGTGCCCTCATGCTTCACTGGTCTACTCTCAGCCACGTTGAACTGGGGCTAGGAAGCAGTCTTCAGACTATTAGGAGCAAACCTCCCCCACACACTCAGTTTTCTCATTCTTCCGTCTGTCCCAGGAGCTGGCTGAGCATCCACTCACTTGTTCTTGAAGTCCTCCACCACATCCTGCATGCTCTTCAGCTCCGTCTCCAGCCTCGCCCGCTCCCCGCCCAGGTTGTCTAGTTGCCGCCTAAGGTTGTTGATGTAGGCATCAAACATGGGCTCGATGTTGGCCCTGGTGATTTTTTGCTCCTGTAGGAGGCTCCATTTGGTCTCCAGGACCTTGTTCTGCTGCTCCAGGAACCGCACCTGCCCCAGTCAGAGGTGAGAGACTATTAGGGCTTCCTCGCACCAGCCTCCTGGAGGGCTCTGGGATCCAGGACCCCTCTACAGTGCAGGGAGCCCTGCAAGACCTCAGAGTCCAGGTGGCAGACTCCTCCTCCTTGTCCTCAGCCTGGAAGAAGCCTGGAATGTAGAGAACCAAGCAAATGTAGGGGCAATGGGCCTGGGAGAAAGGCAGTGGCTTTGTTTGGAAGTTGGAGAAGCAAGGAGGGTCAGAGGGGCTAGAGTCCATATGAATACACCAAACCACACTGATGTGTGGTTAAGTGAAGAACCACATGTTACTAGGTGAAATTTTGATTCTCATTAAATGGGCAAGAGATTCTTGGCAGAAAATTCAATCTGTCTATATTCTTTCCGACATGATTTCTCAAGATCTGGAATCTGGACTCAATTGCCCATACGCTGCAGGAATGCTGGAATGGGTCACTCTGGAGTTGCACTGAGGAGATCTGGGCATAATCCCAGCTATGTCCCTTACTAGCTGTGCAGTCTTGGCAAGCCTCTCCCTCTTTCTGCTCTCTCAAGTCCTCTGTGGTCTTGTGCTGCTAATTTGGTTTTCTTGAGTTGCACTCATCTGCCCCTCAGCCTGGGAAAACATGCAAAGCCTTTCTCCCTGAGCAAAATCTTTCCGTTGGGAGTAGCTGGAATGACGCACAACCTCAGAGAATGAAGAAACGGAGCCTCCAGGACTTTGGAGAGGCAGCGTGCCCACAGAGAGTCTTTGACAAATGCACCTACCCGACCAGCTTTCTCTGCCATTGTCAGAGGAAGGAGGGCAGTGCTGGCTCCAAGTCCCTCCCTAGCCATATCTCTTCATTCCCCATGTCCCCTCCAGATGAACCTAGGAAAAGCAGGGCCTGTGTCCTTCCCCTCAGAGCCACGCTCCTGGAAATCTCACAGCTGTTGATACAAACACCAGGCCAAGTCGGGTGACATGGGTGATAACATTGAAGAACCACTGCCTCAGTGGTTAGGTTTTACACATTCAAAGATCTGGGTTCATATGCTGAGGGATTTCATAGCCTGTTAGACCTGCAAAGGCCCCTTAGAGTCCATCTGTCTAACCCAGCTGAGGCCTGAGAAATTAGGGATTCTCCTAGCAGTAGAGACAAAGATGGGACGTGGGCTGGTTGCCTCTTAGTTTAGCACTCTTTCTTCCAGATCCCAGGTATGGAACCTGAGTGATCCAGATCCTTGAATTGGCTCTTCTCAGGCAAAAACAACGAACTTGGACATGAACCAGTGGTGATACAAAATAGGATCCAAAATAGAATCATTTCTGTCCCCAAACTAGGGAAATCCCTAGGATTCCAGGCCACACAGCAGGGGAGACTCAGGGCTGAACTCACAGTTTTCTTCTGCTTAAAAGAAAAGTGTAAAACTCTTTAAGTGCACCTCTGACCAAACCATTCAGTTTCCCAGACATACCCAAATCACTAGGGAGGTTGTCACAAGATTGCCCCCTATTAAACTGCGCAGGAAAAAGTGACCCCAGCCCACTTCAGTGAACTGAACTTGTAACCTTTCTTTCTTTTATCTCCTTCTCTCCAAGCTGATCCCCTTTCACTATCTAATTTTAAGCCCAACACATGCTCTCTATTCATCATAAGAACAATGTCCTTGCAATGGGTCAGATAGCTCTGGAGTCTGGAGATGGATATTTTTCTGCTCCCACCTCAACAAAGTGAGAAACCACCTCCTCCTCCAACCCATCAGCAGTCTCCCCAGTCCCCAGGATCGCAGGTCCTGGGCAAGTTACAGTTGACCTCAGAAAAGCATAGAGAGCAGAGATCCCCCAGGCTTCCTGGTGGGGACCCCACTTGCCTCTCACCTTGTCGATGAAAGAAGCAAACTTGTTGTTGAGAGTCTTGATCTGCTCCTTCTCCTCCTTCCGCACCCGCTGGAGGGAGGGGTCAATCTCCAGGTGGAGGGGCGTCAGGAGGCTCTGGTTGACAGTGACCTCCTGGATGCCTCCAGCTCCAGGCATCATCCCACCTCCAAATCCGTATCCGCTGCAGGCTCCCCCCACCCTGTACCCTATGCCACCACCGACACCCATCCCATAGCCAGCACCCCCAAAGCTGCCCCGGCTGGAGCGGTAGCCCCCGCTGACAGAGATTCTCTTGTTGCCCCCAAGGCCATGGAGGCTCCTGGTCCCGAAGCCACCCCCAAAGCCGCCCCCGAAGCCCTTTCCGCCCTGGGACACAGAGACAGAGCTGAAGCTCGGCCGGCAGCCTGGGAGGAGGCTCGCTGAGGAAGTACTGAAGTTCCGAGTGCCCCCTGACTTGACGGTGATAGAGGATCGTTGGGTCATGGTGGGAGCTGGTGCCAGAGGTCAGAGAAGCAAAAATGTCAAAGGGATGAGGAGCCGTCAGAGTCTAGCTCTCCCGGAGTCTCCTTGACTTTTATCCTTTTCAAGAACTGGGCTTGGCCAGAGAAGATCAAAGACCACTATGTTGAGTTCATTTCAATGGCATGTCTGGCCACAGCCCATCTTCCTGCCCCGCTAATCGTCTCGAGGAACACCCTACCCAGGGCAGGACCAGGCCTGGGCATTCGGGCCTGGGGCAGGACTGGGCCCTGAGCCCCCTGCACCCCTCCCCCCACCAGGTTCTCTGCCATACTCTGCAGACACTCCCACTGCTTCTCATATGTGCCTTTCTTCTCCATTTCCAGGCCTCGGACTCTGAACCCAAGCACTTGATAATGCCCTTCCCATCATGGTCACTTATAAAGAAAAGAAAGCCCATTTATTGAGAATTCAATGTGTGCCAGACCGTAGGGCAGGTCAGCTGCAAGCATTTTGTCATTTGATTCTCATGCTAATTCTGTGAGGGTAGATGACAATGATAATTGCTAACATTTACTGAGAAGCTACTATAGGTAGCTGCTTTACACCTGCCTTCTCATTTAATCTGTACACAGCACCATGGGTGTGGCTATTACTGGTCTTGTTTTGCATATGAAGCATTTGAGACATAGAGTAGTTGAGAAACCTGGCTGGTCATGTGGCTAGAAAGTGCTGGGCCGATGTTGGGCCCAGTGGTCTGACTGAACCTCACACCAGTGGAGAGGTGGCTTGTCCGGGGGAAGGAAGCAGACTCAGGATTTCACTGCAAATTCCTGTCCACTCTACTCTTCTTGTCCCCAGGTCTTAACTTGTCCCCTACCTCCAGCCCTGGGGATCAGGGACATTTAACAATTGTTCTCAGTGTCATTTCTTTCCTTCTTCCATCTTCTCCCTCCCAGCCCTTCCAAATTTCTCTGGGCAACACCCATTGGGGCTCAGGCCTGGTGGGAGGGGTCCAGGGGACTGTAAACTCAGGAATGTGGGAGTTTCCAGTGATGTCTCATTGTTGCAATTATGGGCCTAAATGGCTCCTTGGCTAGGTGAGAGCACTGCCCCCAGGGCTGACTTTTAATTCCTCTCCTGCCCTGTTATTTCTCGGCTCAGGTCTGCAAGTTTGAAGCTGCCAGGGAACAATAGCCCCTTTGCTGGCAGAAGGCTGGGCTGCCCACCCCACGTCAGTGGCCTAGGAGGAACACAGTCTGGCTTTGGGAGGGGACGGCATCGCCCTGCATGACATACATGGTGGGGAGGCTATGCAGAGCTTCTGCCCAGGGCCTTGGGCTTCTCAAAGAAGGCATCCCGACAAGAGGTAGGAGGAAGTGGGCAGAAGCTCGCGTGGGGAGTCTGGTCAGTGGTCTGCCCTCCTGTCCCTCCCATCTCTCCCTGGTCCAGGCTTCTTCGCTCTGGGGGGGCGGGGAAAGGGGAGGTCTGAAGTGCTCTGCGCACTCCTTGTGTGGGGCCCTGTGCTGGGAGGAGGCCTGGAAGAGGAGGAAGGGAACTGCTTTGTGCTCCTTCACTGTTCCAAACAGAGGGCTGGACAACCAAACACATTACACATATGTTTATTAGACACATTCCAGGGCCGGGAGAGAGGGAGCCCTCACTCCCAGTGGGCAGCTTATAAGCACCATGAGACACAGGGGCTGACAACCTGGCATTGAGATGGCCTGGGAGACACAGACTCCCAATTTCTGCATCTGGAGGGAGGCAGGAGGAAGGTGGAGCTGAAGGGAGAGTCTCGGCAAGACAAGCTGAATGTGAATCTTGAAAGTCTCTGTGATTTGGCACAGAGAGGGCACCAGGAGCAGTCTGGGGACTGTCAAGAGGGCAGAGGCTGGCTCAGGTTGGGGAATGGAGTTTAGCCAGGATGCCAGGCTTCCTAGCAGCACAAGTGGGGCTTGTGGAGGGGAGAAAAAGGAGAAGGACCTAAGTGTCCAAGGGTGAGTGCAGACAGGCCAGATCTGTGGGCAGAGCTGGTTTCAGGGCAGGGGTGAGGGAGCAGGGAGGCTGCACTTAGTGTTTATAGCTCTTCCGGTTGGAGGACGTAGTGGAGACAAACTTGACACTGGAGCCACTGCCCCCAAGGCCCCGGCTGCTACAGGTACTAAAGCCAGAGCCCCCCAGGCCTGCACCCAAGCTGTGCCCTCCACTGGTGGTGAAGGGGTAACTGCTGCCCCCACCAAGACCCAGACTTCCACTTCCAATGCCGCTGCCACCGCCATAGCCACTGGAAATGGTGGAGGTGACCACAGCTGCAGGAAGAGAAGAGGCGTGGTCAGAATCAAGGTCAGGAGAGAAGACACCTGGGGTGTCAGGGCTTGTGCCCTGAAGTCCGTGGGGTGGGGATAGGGTGGTCTTGTCAGGCGGCTGTTTGCTTCCTTCTCATCTTTCTGCCTGTGTATTGAGATCCTTGTCCTATGCCTCAGCCTGGCTTACCCCGCGATGTACCACCGGGCGTTTTCCCTGTCTGGGTGGCTTCCGCTTCTCCCCTGCTACTCGGTGCCTCTCTTTCCCTTCCAGGATTTAATGGAGACTTCTCTCCTCGGAGCAGCTATTCCAGTCCACCTTTCTTCCCCTTTGATCCCATCACATTCTCCCCAGCTGCTCTGTCCCCATCTCCCATCTTCCTTCTGGAAGCTCACAGGGGGTATGTACGCACTCCCTTGGTGTCCCCCAGCCTCCATGCTCTAAATCTCAGAGTGGGGCTGGAATATTCTTGATAGACCAAGTGACAGGTAGCCCTTTGGCCAGCCAACTCTGCCCCTATTCTCCTCCAACCTGTTCTTTTCCTTTTGTAACCACCATCACCTTAAACATCTAGTGCTCTACATTGGGCTCTTGAGAAGGAAAATTGAAATTTAAAAAATGGACTCCATTATGGGATGAATTGTGTGCTCCAAAAACATGTGTTGAAGTTCTAAACCCCAGTACCTGTGAATGAGACCTTATTTGGAAATAGGATCTTGCAGATGTAATCAAATGAAGAGTAAATCATTAGGTCGGCTCTAATCCAATATGACTAATGTCCTTATAAGTAGAGGGCAGACATTCACATGAAGATAGACACACAGGGAAATGGCCTTATGATCACAGAGATGGAAACTGGAGGGATGAGCCAAGGACTGACAGACACCACCAGAAGCTAGCAGAGGCAAGGGGGAGTTCTCCCCTATAGGTTTCAGAGGGAGCATGGCCCAGCTGACACCTCAATTTTGTATTGCTAGCCTGCAGAACAGTGAGACAATACATTTCTGTTTTTCTTAAGCCACCCAGTTTGTGGCACTTCATTACGCTAGCCCTAGGAAACCAATACAGACTTGTAGGCGCTTTCAAGAGAAAGGAAACTTTAGAGGCTGTGCCATCCATTCCCAAAATTAGCTTTGAGAGTCTCTGGAGCCACTAGACAAGGATATCAGAGAAGATCACATGGGCGATTCAGAAGGCTCTACCTTCTAGAATCATTGGCTAATATAATCAATTGCTTTTATGAATCCCGCACCAGGGAAATCAAACTCACTTGTAGAGTGTAAGCTGTAGAAGTCATTTCTGTTGGCCTCAGGGTGCCAGCACTGAGCTCTCTAAGTGACGCCTTCTGCTCTTGCCGGCACAAAACTGTTCCAGCTTGTCGATGCCTCTCCTGTTTCTCATTAGCTGCACCCAACTGCCATGTCTTACGGTTCTCTCACTGCCTTGAAAACCCTTGGTAACTTTCTGCAGTTATACTCTGCAGAGTTAAGCCAAGCAATGGGGCTTCTTCCAAAACTGTTCAGGAAAGGGGCTACCTATATGACAATCCCTTGTGCCCGGTGTGAAGGATCCCTTCAAAGGCTGAGGGCAGACCGGGTTTCATAAAGTCTGTCTACATCAGACACTCATCTCTGAACTAGACTCGCAGCCCCAACAAGAAAGGCGTGGAGTCCTGGGAGGTGGGAGGTGGGACCCGCAGATCTTCTAAACCCATGCAGAAGGAGTATAAGAAACCTCCCATTGCCCGCTCTGTGCTGCTCTCTTGCAAAGAGGTAAGAATTGGGGCATTAAAGACTCTCTCCTAATATGGTTTTCTTTTAACTCATTACAACATCAAACCTTCTCAAAATGAACCCTATGGATGGGATATCCTCCAATGCTTCATGCACGCCCACTGCCTCCCCACCCCCCAATCATATACCCATCAAAGGACACAAAGGATGGGATGGCATACTCACAGATGTTGACTGGAGAAACACCCTCTCCACTCAGCCTGATTGGGAGGAGGGAGGAGAAGGGGGTTACTACTGTGTCCAGCAGCTTGTGGGCATTTGAAATGACAGTTTTGTAATTGTTTTAAATACACTAAAAACACTTGATGGTTTTTATTGCAGAAGTAATGGAGTTTGAAATTATTTAAATACTAGCAGTATTAAAAATAATAATAATTTAATGACTGAAATCATGCAAAATTTGAGGTTCATAGGAGTCAAACCTGTCATCTCGGAAACACATTTTTGGCTTAAACTAGGTAGACACCTTAAGAAAATTAAAACTGATAGTACACTGATGTCAACTGGAAAGCAGGGTTTGTCATAGACCAAGAAGAGTGCTCTCTCTCTCTCTCTCTCTCTCTCTCTCTCAACAATGGACTGTCATCATGCACTGGGCAGTGCTGAGGTTATTACAGGTGTGGAGAGGAGGTCTGAGTCATAAACATAACAGCAGCAACAATCAGTCTATTATTGTGGCAGCCACTAGAGTAATTTTGTCTTAGCGTCTTGACAGAACTGGCATTCATAAATAAACTCATACTTGGAACATTAAAAAGAGCTAACAGTTATTGGGTACCTGTTGCCTACATTATGCCACTTAATTCTCTTAGCAATCCCATTAAGTTGGTATTATTATCTCAGTTTTACAGATGGGGAAATTGAAGCTCAGAGAAGCTAATTAACTTGTCCATGATCACAGAGCTGGATTTGAAACCAGGTTCATCTGACTGCAAAGCCCACGTCATTGGCCACTCAACTGAATGATAATAAATACTTAATGAACACTGTGAGTGTGTGTATCATGTGTTGTTTTAAGAGCTTTGTATGTATTCCCTATATTAACATTCTTAAAAACCTATCAGCTAGACACTATGGTTATTTTACAGGTGAGGACACTGAGGAGTGGAGAGGCTAAGTAATTTGCCCTCAGTCAGGCAGCTGGTAATCGGCAGAGCATAAAGCTTCTACTAAACTTTGGGGATCATGCAACCTGACCTCTTTCTCTTTATTCTATCACTGAAGAAATTAAGGGCCAGAGAGAGAATGATGACTTTCCTAAGGTTACACAGTTAGTTAGTGGTAGACATGTAAGCCCAAATCTTAGGACAATTTATTCTCAGTCAGGGCCTTTCTTTCAAACCACATATCCAGCCCTGCCATTTAACCAAATTTCTCCTTTGATAGAATTTGATTAATTACTTAGACTTGATCAGGTCCCTATGGGGTACCAAAAGCAGTTGTACCTCAAACATGGGAGTGTGATAATGATTTACTGGCCTGGAAAAAAACTGCACCTGTATTCTCTGCCATAGCCCAATCCCACCTACATTTTGCTTTTTTTTCCAGGTGAGGAGGGAGCTGCCACAACCTGAGCCCCTAGGAATGGCCAGGCAGCTGGGATGAAGTTAGTGCCTCTGCCCTCACCTGTGCTCCTCGCCCTCCAGCAGCTTCCTGTAGGTGGCGATCTCCACGTCCAGGGCCAACTTGACGTTCATGAGCTCCTGGTACTCACGCAGGAGCCGGGCCATGTCCTGCTTGGCCTTCTGCAGGGCACCCTCCAGGTCCACCAGCTTGGCCCGTGCATCCTTGAGGGTCATTTCTCCACGCTGTTCTGCATCGGCGATGGTTGCTTGTAGGCTGGAACACTGTGAAGCAAGGAGGAAGCCATGAGCCTTACTGGTAGCCCCTGGAGGTATGGTGGGGTCCTGGATTAGAGTCCTGTAAGCATGGCAGAATGACTGGAAGAAATAAGTGTGTGGGAACTCCTGGCCCTGCTAAAACTTTACCTGCTTCTTGACACTGTCAACCTCAGCTCTCAGCCTCTGGATCATCCGGTTCATCTCGGAGATCTCTTGTTTGGTGTTTCGGAGATCATCGCCATGTCTGCCTGCCGTGACCTGCAGCTCCTCGTACTGAGAGAACCAGAGCAGAGTCAGTCACCTTGTCAAACGCCAGGGCTGGGCACTCCCTATGTGCACAGCCTGGCCCTCAGTGCCACAGTACGTGCATCCATTCACTGACCAGTCACATATTCCCTCGCTTCTTTATTCAGGTGATATTTTTTTGAGCACGTCTACTTGCTAGGCATGTACTATGATCTGGGAATATCATGAAGAACATAATCAGACCCCCTGTTTACAGTTTATTGGGGGGAGATATAGTAATCAAATCAGCATATTATCAAACCTATAGTTCCAGCTGAGATAAGTGCCCCTTAGGAAATGAACAGGGTCCTACAAGAGTGTAATAAAGGAATCTGACCTAGATATGGGAGTGGGGGTGGCAGGCAGGGAATTCCTTCCAGACATGGAGATGCTCAAGCTGTGCTCTGAAGGATGGGAAGGAGTGACCTAAGTGACCGACTAGGAAGAGAACATGCCAGACAGGGGGAACAGCCAGAGGACCCTGGGGCAGAAAGGAGCATGGTGAGCTCTGTGAGTGAGAGTGACTTAGTTGCTGTCCTTGGGGAGTTCCTGGTCACTGCATATACATCCAGACCAACTGTGACCATGGATTTTGGTAGCTCTCCAGAGAGACACCAGTGCTGAGGAAACGGAGAGGAAATGCAGGGAAATGGAGTTGGATGGAGCCGAGGCTGGAGAAGCCCAGTTCTGAAGACTTTATAAAGGACGCCCCCATTTCTTGTAGCTCTCGGTCTCATGGTGCACATCCAGGACACACTCATTTAGGAGAAATAAATGCACCTGTCTCCTCTAGCAGACTGGAGTGAAACCCACACCTTTCGCAATGGAAGAAGGGTGCCTGCGAAGACCTGTCCGGTTTTGCAAGTGCTAAATAGCTCAGCTCCTCTGATTCTAGATACAGTTAAAGGAACAACAGCTCCGCCAACAAAAGGAATCGTTCATCATACATTTTAACCACTCCACCTGGAGTTAAGTGCATCCCACCTCCATTCACTGTCAGGGGGCTGCCTTCGCATTGTGCACCCCTGTCAGCTGACACCCTCTTCTTTCCCACCACATTGCAGTGGTAGGGACTAAGGCAGTGCCCAGAGCAGGGCAAGGGATTGGAACCAGCTTGTAGGTGAGCAACTGCCCATGAAAAGCATCTGGATTTGGCAGGGAGCTCATCTCATGGGCTGGACTATTCAGCCTACTAACCCCCTCCAAAACCAAACTTTCTGGCCATCTGCACCTTTGGACAGTAGCTCTCTGTGGTTGTTCCAACCTCTCTTCCTGATACAAACTCTCTTGCTCAGCAAAGTGCTCATTTCTGCATTCCAGCCCTACAGGACTGCTTGCTTGGCATTAAACACCTCCCCTCTCCTTGGCAATCTTTCATCCTTTGCTGCTTCCAAAATGAACTGAAAACCCACCTCTTCTTGGAAGCTTTTTATTGATGCTGTCTTTTTTCCCTTCCAAGATTGTCCTCCCAGACCTTTGTTTGCAGTTTATTTATTTACAACTCTGTAACCCTGTTTGGCATATTGTAGAAGCTCCGTAGACATGTATTGAATAAACAAGCCCTTTAGAAACAGCTTTACGACTGTTTCTTGTTTTTTTTTGTGGAGTCTCACCCAGCCTCCAACCAGATCATAAGTAATGTGGGGGTGGTGGCTGTCCTGAGCAGCCAACATCACCTCACCACATATTAGTATGTTTGGTTGGGTTTTCACATGCATTTCAAGCTAAGTTTTCATAGCATCAAAGATGATTCTGCCAAGTTGAAAGAAGCAGAAATACTCACATGTTTCCTGAGGCTTGTGGCGAACAGTTAAATGATGATTTGGAGCATCAGAGAACACTAGCCTTGGATCCTATCACAGAGGTGCCCACACTCACCTTGGTCTGGTACCAGGACTCGGCCTCAGCCCGGCTGCGGTTGGCGATGTCCTCATATTGTGCTTTGACCTCGGCGATGATGCTGTCCAGGTCCAGGCTGCGGTTGTTGTCCATGGAGAGGACCACAGATGTGTCACTGACCTGGGTCTGCATCTGAGACAGCTCCTGCAGAGCCAGTCAACTCAGTGTCACCACAGCATAAAAAGAAGGGCTCTTGAAATCATGTGGCTGATCACCCATCTAGGTCAGGAAGCCCTTCTTCCACATTTCTGGCAGGGAGTGTTCCAGCTCTTCCCTGGGTATTCCCAGCATTTAGGGGTTCCCAAGTTAATCTCTGAGAGGTGTCTGGGTCATAGATCAGTGTGAGGGGAGCATGTCCCCAGAATCATTTTTTAAGACTCCCACCCATGTGCTTTCCCTCAGTATGAAGGGTGGGTAAGTGTTCTCTGATCCAAATTACATGGAGTAAAATGTACATTATGTTGATTCATATACTGGCATAAAATATTTCTTCAGAATCAGGAGATTTTTAGGACCCTCTGCCCACCGCACATTGTTATTTCATCCTTCTCTGATACTCTCTCCCTTCTCACAGGCCCAGGTCTCTGCTTTCAGAGTGGCAGTGTCCAGAAAGAGCCATCTTCAGAGGGCAGAAAGTGCCCTGACCAATGAACTGAGGCACAGCTTGCCTTTTTGAACTTTCTGGGAAGGGGAAGAGAGAGGGGGTTTTGATCCCTTGGGAATGTTATCCAGTGACTTGAGGTTCAGGAATCAGCACTCCTTCCTTGATATGGAGTAGGGGGATAAGCTCAGAGCTGGAGTAGGGTTTAGTGTGGGAAGATTTTAAGGCATTCTCCTGGGTCCCTATGATTCCCGAACCCCAACTTGGAGCATCTGGGACATGATGCTGGGATGGAGACTACGGGGATGATACTCTCTACAGCATCCTTTTCTTTCCAGGCACAAGACCTTGGAGGGAAAAAAACATTCACAGGCTCTTACTTCCTCATAGAGTATCCGTAAGAAGTTGCTCTCGTCAGTCAGACAGCTGACCTTGGCCTCTAGCTCCACCCTGTTCATGTAGGCGGCATCCACGTCCTAGAACAACAGCACAGGATTCTCCTCTGAGACTCTAGCCCCAAGCAGCGAATCCAAAAGAAGCTGGGCCGACTCCTCCCTGGCCCTTCTAGGTTGGATTTTAGCAAACCCTGCATGGGGGTTTTGGGGTTTGGGGTGGGTGATTGTCGAGAACTGGCTGCTTGAGTTCCCTGGGCTAACAGAAACCTAAGCAGGGGCAGTGGGCCATAAATACAGAGGGAGTATTTTGGCAGGATTGAGCTCCCCAGAGGTTCCTAAGATTAAGATGGCATTTCTTGTGTGGACCAGGGGTCAGGTCACTCCACACTCCATGATTCAGTTTTGAATTTTCTCCTTTGAGAGACATTTGCACCCACCTTCTTCAGAGCCACAAACTCATTCTCAGCAGCGGTGCGCTTGTTAATTTCATCCTCATACCTGTAGCACAGAGGAGAGGGGGCGTGCTGTTGAGCAAGGTTTTGACTTGGCTCTTCCCAGGCTGAGGAGATTGGTACTGGTGCAGCAAGAATTAAGAGACCTCAAATCCTCTCCAGCTCTTCTGCTGACATATGTGTGACTTTGGGTAATTCACTTAACCTCTAGTTTTCCTCTATGAAAGGAGGATAATTTCTTTTGCCAGAAGTTTTTTTTTTTCCTTCTTCTTTCTTTTGTAAGTCTAGAAGGTAAGCATGGAACTTATAGAAATAGAAATATGTACTTACACAACTCCATCTTCTTAGAGATGCACAATTCCAACCTTTAAAAAACGTTGCTGCCCCAAGTGCCTGCTGTAAACTTTGTTCAGGACACTGTTCCCAGTAGACTGTGATATATTTTCACAGAACCTCAGGGTAGCCGTTTGAGCAGTGTGCTTTTAGTAAGTAGGTATATCTCTAACTCAGCAACCAAGGATAAGGCAGGTAAGGGGTTAGAGAGGACTTTCCTCTTCCACTAGAAACATCACTTACTGTAGACTGGATAAAGGCCGGTCAAATTTTGCCTACCCAACCAGATTGCCTCATTTATATTTTAGTGTGCATCCTGGAAATGCAAGCCATCTCAATAATAGAGTCCATGTCCAGTGGAGTTAAATAATATGCTGACTGTGAAAGAGTATTATGTTTTCCAGAGTAGCAATGTTTTATTAGGTGATGCAGATATCCCTTTGTGGTAGTGTAAACAGGTAAGAACAGGCTTCTTGTTAATAGTGATGCATGAGATGAGAGTCCCTCTATTACCCCCCCACCCCCACCCCATGCTGTCTTCATCTTACGGGACGATGACAGCAAGTTCCAAACCTCCCAGCTGACACTGGCATTTGCCCCTTTGCCCTGGGATGACTACGTGTGACCGGAAGCCCATTCCCCACTGACCTCACTTTGAAATCTTCTACGACGTCCTGCATGCTCCTCAGCTCAGTGTCCAGCCTGCCCCTCTCGGTGGCGACACTGTCCAGCTGCCGGCGGAGGTCACTGAGGTAGGCGTCAAAGAAGGGTTCCAGGTTCTGCCTCACGGTCTTGGTGCCCTGCTCCTGCAGGAGGCTCCACTTGGTCTCCAGGACCTTGTTCTGCTGCTCCAGGAATCGCACCTGGAGGGGAGAAGAAGAGAATGAAACCTTGAGAAATTAATTGGAGCCAGACACTCCAATTAATAACGGAGAAGAGAAAAATATACTTTTCACCTGATATCTATCTGTTGACTATATAATTGACAACTCCAAGTCAAATGAGAAAGCCCTTGAAGTTACCCTGAAGTTCTCTGGGGCTTCCATAGAACTGGTGCAGGGGGCCTTGGAGGCCTCTAAGAGGAGCCTGTGTTTTGGGGTTGACAGTCTCCGCAATGCCTGCTCTGGGTTAGGTTAGTTTGCTTAGTGGAACTCCTCC